AAATTGTCAAAGATTTCATATTACTTGGTTCCACAATCAACACCCATGCAAGCAGCAGTCAAGATAACAGATGTTGTAAGGCACCACCAGAGCTCCCGCGTCTAACCCAAGCCTTGGTATTTCAGTCACCTCATAGGCATGTGAAAGTTGGACAATGAATAAGTAAGACCGAAGAAGAGTTGATACTTCTGAGTTGTGGTGTTGGCTAAGAATACTGAAAGTACCATGGACTGACAATAGAACTAACAAATCTGTCCTGGAGGAAGTGCAGCCAGAATGCTCCTTGGAAATGGGAATGGCCAGACTTTGTCTCACCTACTTTGGTCATGTTGTTAGAAGGGACCATTCCCTGAAGAATGATACCATGCTTGGTAAAGTGAAAGGTCAGCGAAAAGGGGGAAGACCCTCAATAAGATGGATTGGCACAGTGGCTGCAACAATGGTCTCAGGTATAGCAGGGATTGTGAGGCTGGCACAGGACCGGGCAATGTTTTGTTCTGTTGGATGTAGGGTTGCTATGGGTTGGAGCTGACTCAATGGCACCTAACAACAACAAAGCCATCCACTTATGGTTATTTGTTTATAGCAGCACTAGAAAACCAAGACACCTGTGTTTTACTGACTTGTATATATAAAGGCATTCTACTGTGTGGATCATAGCAAATTGTATTTAGCATTGTGAAGAATGGAAATTCCAGTACACTTAATCATGCCCATGAAGAACCTGTACATAGACCAAAAGGCAGTCATTTAAATGGAACAAGGGAGTACTGGATGGTGTAAAATGAGGGAAAGTGTGTGACAGGGTGGTATCCTTTCACCCCACTTATACAATCTGTATAAGCAAACAACCCAAGAAGCTGGACTATATGAAGAAGAGCATGGCATCAGGATTGGAAGAAGACTCATTAACAACCTGTGATATGTAGATGGCACAACCTTGCTTGCTGAAAGTGAAGAAGACTTGAAGCACTTACTGGTGAAGATCAGAGACTACAGCCTTCAGTATGGATTACACCTCAACAGAAAGAAAACAAAAATCCTCACAACTGGACCAATAAGCAACATCCTCATAAATGGAGAAAAGATTGAAGTTCTCAAGGATTTCCTTTCCATGGAATCCACAGTCAATGCCCTTGGAAGTAGCAGTCAAGAAATCAGACATCATATTACAGTGGGCAAATCTGCTGCAAAACAAAACAAAACAGAAACTCTTTGAAGCGTTTAAGAGCAATGATGTCACTTTGAAGAATAAGGTGCACGTGACCCAAGCCATGGTATTTTCAATCACCTCATATGCATGTGAAAGCTGGACAATGAAACGAGTAAGGAAAATGGCTGAGGGACTGATGCATTTGAATTGTGGTGTTGAATGTACCATGGACTGCCAGAAGAATGAACAAATCTGCCCTGGAGAAATTCTGGGTAAACCTCAGAAAGCACCAGAACTTGGCAAGCCCAAGTTAGCCCTGAAACCTATCCGTGGCTCCATATGAGTCAGAAAAACTCATGCTTTGAGACCTGTGCTCCTGTGGGTTAATTTTCAAAAACATCTTTATTGTGATATAACTCAATACCATCTGATTCATCCATTTAAAGTGTGTTTTTTTTTTTTTCAGTGGTTTTTGGTATATTCACAGAGTTGTGCAACCATCAACACAATTGATTCCAGAACATTTTCATCACCCCAGAAAAGAAACCCGTATCCATGAGCAGTCACTCCCCATTACCCAGCCTCCCTTCCTCAGCCCTAGAAAATCACTAATCTACTGCCTGTCTCTGCAGATTTCCTATTCTGTGTATTTCATACGAATGGAATCAGACATCTTTTGCATCTAGTTTCCAGCACTTAGCATAATGTTTTCAAGGTTCATCCATGTTTGTAGTTTGTATCAGAACTTCAATCTTTTTATGGTGGGTAATATTCCCTTATAAGGATATACCACAATTTATCCATCTCTTGATGGACATTTGGCTTGTTTCCATTTCTCTGGCTATTATAAATAGAGCTACTATGAATGAACGTTTGTGGACAAGTTTCTGTGTGCCCATGTTTTCATTTCTTTTGGGTATACATGGCAATTCCAAGTTTTAACATTTTCAGGACCTACCTAACTGGTTTCCACATCAGTGGTACCATTTCCCACCCCCACCCCCCAGCTATGTGTGAAGGTTCCTATTTCTTCACATCCTAGCCTACACTTGTTATTATCTGTTTCATTGTAGCCATCGTAAACCAAAAAGCAAAATAAAACTCATTGCATCAAGTTGATTCTGACTCATAGTAACCCCCTTTGGGTTTCTGAGGCTGTAAATCTTTATGGAAATAGATTGCCCAGTCTTGCTTCCACAGAGTGGCTGGTGGGTTTGAACTACCAGC